ATAGACGGAGATCTTTGCAACTCTGGTATAGTTCCCAAATAACCTATAAACAATAACAATTGTAAGAAATGGCAACTGTAATTTTTGTATGGTATAGAGTTTCAAATTTTGATGGACTTTCTAACTTACATCATGTACACCCAACCTATCAAGCTCCTCTCGAAAAGCCTGCAACTGTGTCTCTTTACCAGACTCTCTCCGAGAAGTCCAACGGTAAACATGTGGCATGTCTCGAGTGTAATTCATATTTAAGTGTGGTCGGAATCCATGAAAGTGCTCATAAATCCATCCCTTAAAAAGTGTCATGTAATCGTCTATTTGTTTCAAGCCGGACCTGCTAGCATACCCCATCTATCTATATAAGTATGCCAATACAGCAGCACCTCAAGCATATGAAGATGCAGTCGTCAAATCAGACAACAAACTCAAATAAACAATGGGGACCCTAGTACCAATCTTGTCACTAAAAAGTGTACAACCCAACAAAAATAGAAAGTATGCTCTACCTGTACACGTAATTCTTTCCATTGAATCATTGTCTGTGACATTATGAAAGAGTGCCCTTAACCACTCAAGCCTCACTGAATTGCCTCCAGCACTACACATCTCATGACTGACCTCTTGCACATCAATTTCCAAGGTATTAACTACTAATGCAATGGCCCGCCTTTCTGACAACTTACACACACTAATAGATTTTCCTACAATGGGAAGCCCTACGATAGTGGTGACATCGTCCAATGTGATAGTCATCTCTCCAATAATCAAATGGAAGGTGTTTGTCTTCGGTTGCCATCTCTTAACAAAACTGGACACTACAATTATGTTGACAAAGCGGTACGTGCAACGAGCTAATTATGCAAGTCCTGGTATCTCCACAATTTTTACAAATGTAGTATTGTTTTTTTGTTCCCACCACGGCCATGAACGAATCTTAGACAAGTGATTTTGACACTTCAAGGGCCCCTTTTCATTAGCACCATTCCAAATAGTTGTGGCAACATGACTTTTAAAACTTTTAAGGATTGATGGATTAGTTGGCCCTCCCAGAAATGGCCGAGTAAGGATATCTTCATCAACAATGTCAGCATCATCACCAGCAGGGCTATCATCCATAGCAATATCATCCATAACTAGTGCATCATGTATAGGATCATCATCCATGGCAATGTGCATGTCATCATCATGCACTCGAGCACATCCACGTCCACATCCACATCTCTCTAATTCATGGAGTCTTCTGTTCAAAGCTGTTATTGACCGACGTTCACTGGGACCGGCATCCATCTGCATAAGGAAAGTTGTTCTCATCAACCTAACATAATGAAATAGAATAAGCACTCCCAGAGAAGGATTGCATCAATCCAGGTAATAAGTAGCCTATCCATACCACCTTAATGAAATCTAATATGTAGTTATAGACCATTAAATTGACAATTTGAATGATGTGAAATTAATAAAATAAGTTAAAGACATAACCCCACTACTAATGAAAGAGTGAGACTAGGATTTGTTGAAAAATTACAATGTAAATGTGGATATAGCAAAACTATTTGTATTCTATACAGACCATTCACCAATTAGTTTGGTTGATGTTCACAACATGTGAAAAACAGATTAACTTCACTTTGGCCAATTTACCAAGGCAACATGGTCATTAATCAATACCAACATCATTTTTCAAACAATCAAAGGACTGCCCATTACTTGTCTTTGTACATGTTATTGATTGTAAATTTGTTGTAGCTATAAGTATACAACCAATGACCAAATTTGGCCCCAATTTCAATGCTTTGAAAGAACAAACCCCAAAAGCAAAATAACTCAAGCTTTAATATTCTATATAATGCAATTGTTTTGTTCAACTATTTAGCTAACAACATTTATGAAGACCCAACTACTTAAACTAACAATATAATGTGGAAATACCAATACTGCACAGATTTTTTGTTTCTATTGTTATGCATTGAATTTCGCAAAAAAAAAAAAAAAAAAAACAAAACAAAAACAAACAAACAAACAAACATAAACATACCCATAAAATAAAATTGTTGGAAAAGAACCTAAAGTAAAACCAATCTTGGTGGCCTATGTAACTTGGTGTAAATTTTTATATCATATATAATATATATATATATAAAAAAAAAACCATTTGGAACTTCAGTGTCGAATACACAAATATTTTGGAAATCAATTACCGACATTATTGCATTCGAAACTACAAAACCGAAAAAAATAGAACAGATTCGACAAACAAACTACAAAATTATGTATTTTGTTCGGACCTAATTGGTCGAAATTATACATATTATTCAGTGACTAAGTTTTGAATTAAACAAACGAATTCGGACACCCAGTGCCGAGAGATCCATAACATGCCCATCAAGGGAAAAACTGATGCTTTTATGCCAATGGAGTGAAGAGATATCTGAAAATGGTAAATGTAATGACAAAATGATAAATGTAATAATAAAACGGAAAGATTTCTTACCTTAAACAAGGGTTTTCAATAGTTTTTAGTAGAGATTCAATGAAGCTCTTCAAAGTCTTCAATGGAGGTGAGGAAAATTCAAAGATTTTTTTTTTCCCAGTTTGAATGAAGTCTTCTTCTTCTTTTTTTCTTTTTTTGTTTGAACGAAGTGAGTTTGGTCTTCACCAAAGTGAGTGGAACTAGAAATGTGAATTAGGATCAATTAAAGTGCGTGTACCATGGTTATGAGTGAATGATGTAATTGTAATTTTAAAGATGTGAATTGAGAAAATTAGTTAATAATCAAATTAATAGGGGTGTGTATTGAGAAAAGATTTGCCTTGAGTTGATTAGGTGTGTGGAAAGTTTCCCAAAAGTTAGGGGTCATCAAATGGCCCGTGGACAGAAAACCTCATATTACCCAACCCGTTCCATGACACATCCCAGCTCACTTGAGTACCCAGCCTATTCCAACCCATAAAAGATGATAACAAAGGTTTGTTACCTAAGCTCAGCCATGAACCTGGCTTGTAAGAGTCCGCATGGGTAAGCCCAACCTGACCATCCCATCAACTCGACTCAAACTATCCCGTCCAAATATTTTTTTTTGATATGTATCACAAAAAAAAAAATCAGCACTTTTTAATTCAAATTTAATTTATTAAAATACATTAATTTATATATATATATATATATATCTCTATGTGTACAACAACTAATCATATCCCTTTTTCTCTCTTTGCAAAGCGTGAAGTTTTGGTTAACTTAAAGGGTTCTGTTTCAAGAGTCTGAGAGAGGTAACACATGATCGAATTTGGTAGGAAAGGCCAACCTGGTTGAGTTTTCTAGCCTTGTATGATGTTAGTCCTTTCATTTTTTTCCCCACTCGTAAGTATTATAAATAAAATTACATTATGTTATTTGATTATTTTTTTTATTATATGAGATGTAAAGAGGTAAAAAATAAATGAAAATATTTGAATTATGTTGGAAAGTAAAAGAGAATAACAAGTTATAAAAATATGTGAATGAAAAATGTATAGAACTTAACAACATAATTATAATGTGTAGTCCAGTTCGGTTATGTGATTTTAGTTTTATAAATAGTCCCGGTCCGTACTAACCCATTAACTAGTCAAAGTTTGAAAAACCTAATTAAAATATGAAATTTGGATATAATAATTGTAGGTTGGGTAAACCTGTCCCAACCTTAGTGAGGATGTTCACACTTTTAAAAATAGCAGTAGATGTAGATTTTTAGAGTACTATGTTCATAAAGATATTTTGGAAATATGAAAAACAACCGTGATTGGTAGCTCGAAACCCAGCCCCCCGAATCGCCCGAATTTGAAAAACGACGTCATTTTTGCATTTTTTTTTTTTTTTGGTTCAATCAGAAACGAAGAAGAAGAAGAAGAAGAAGAAGAAGAAGAGAAGGAAGAAGAAGAACTGGAGGGGCCATCAACCAGGGGAGAAGGAAGAAGAAGGAAGAAGAAGAAGAAGAGAAGGGAGGGGCCATCAACCAGGGGCGGAAGCATGGCGGAGGCTGAGCTGCTGCGACGATCGTCCTGCGACGAAGAGCTGCGATCGACCGATGATCGGCGAAGCTGCGACGGAGAGCTACGATCGGCCAATCTTCTCTCTTCTCTTCCTCTCTCTTTGTGTTTCCCTCTCTCCTCTTCTCTTTTCTCTCTCTCTCTCTCTCTCTTGTCTTCCCTCTCTTCATTTTTCGGGGGATTCGGTGGGAAGGATTTTCGGGGGAAAAATCATTATTCTATGAAAAAATAAAAAATAATTTGTTTGGTTCTAGTTTTTAGAAAACAGTATTCAGAAAATTCTTCCTTTTTATTTTCTGTATTTTAATGTTTTTAATGAATTTTTGAATATTTTAAGCAATTTTTTTTTAATTTTTAGACACCTAACATAAATACACTTAAAAAGTATAATATTTGTAAAAAAAATCTTTACAAAATACACCAAATATCAAAAAAATATGAAAATTCAGTATATTTTTTTTATATTTTTATGTATTTATTAATTTCTTAAAATATTTTTCATAAATATTTTACTATTTCGATACAAGTAAGGTGTATTTAAAAAAAAAAATAATTAAAATTTTAAAAATATTTACTAAAAATAAAATAATATAAAAAATAAAAAAATTAATTTAAAAAATTCAATTCAGAAAATTGAAATCAAATGAAAATGTTGTGGTAATACTTGAAATTCAAGCTCTGAAGTCAAATACTCTTTTATAAGAAATAATAAAAAAAAAAAAAAAAAAAAAAAGCCAGAAAAACAAAATTCAGGAGAAACGAAAGAGATAGAAGAAACGGTCTCTGTCCCTGTCAATGGCGACGGTGCTCTTCATTCGATCTCTGAATTTCAGAGATCTCCGAGTTATGACATGCCCACGTCCAATCATTAGGTCTCTCTCTCTCTCTCTCTCTCTCAAGTTATATATATATATCATGTGTAAATATTATATGTTGTATGGCAGTAATGTAGTATATTATATAATAATTATATAAGCTGTTTTGTGTTGAGATCTTCACCACACACGCAAGCGATTTACGACTTCGATTCTGTAGGCTCAGTGTAGAATTTGGGTTCGATTGGGAAATTAGATCTGCTTGATCATTCAGAAACTGTACAACATAATCAAGGCCTTGTCTTTGGGATTTCCGAGAGATAAGCAAAGAATTTCTTGGATAGTTAGAAATAGGAAAACTAATTTTGGTATTTTTATTTTATGTAACTATATATATCTATATGGTCCAAAGTGCTTGTTTTTGCAATTTAAATTTCTAGGTTTAATTTCATGCTGTTATTGATTTTTTTTTTTTTTTAATTTTTTAATTTTTTTGGGGAAGTTCTGAGTAGTTGATTGTAATGTGATGCAGAAGGTGAAAAAGTTCACGAGTGAAGAGTTAAGAGAGAGGGAACAGGGAAGGGGGGGCGGGGGGGAGGCTGCTGATGTCTTTTGACGAAGATAACAAGCAATGGATTTGTGGAAAGGCCGGGACAGTGAGTCTACATCGAGTCAGTTGTATTGTTCGCGACATTGGGGAGCCTTGTCTTCATCAATCACCTATAAAGGTTGTTATAGCTGTAAGAATACTGACAACAACATATATATTTTTTCTGTAATTATTATCATGATTTTTTATGCTTTGTGTTAAATCGAAAGTTCTATACTTGCTAGCTTTGCTCTAAATATTCTGTATGACCTTGGCAATGGGTCGGTGAGAAGGAGCACCTCAAGTCCAGGGGTTCAAGTATAGTTGCCATTACTTACCAAGTCATTTGAAACGAGGACATTTATCTTTTAGCTTTTTTTCCATGGCCATCTTATTCTTATATGCATTATCTTCAAATTGTCATGCACATCCATGAATGTTATTTAATTACCTTTATCTTTTATTGAGTCGTGGGACCAAAGTCAAACACCTTGTGTCTTTTTCTAATATTGAATGCTCTGTGAAAATTTATTGATGCAATGTTCTTACTCTCTAGCAAATTCAATTGATACCAAATGGCAGAAGAACTAGATGTCTAGATGAAACGTGTAGTTGGTTTAGGAAGTAATAATTATATCTACTGCATTATCTTCATTCACTTGTGCAGTTAGTTTCCTAGTTTAATGCAGCCTATTGCAAATGATGAACTGGTGAATTTAAGTTTGCCTAGTTCAAAACCGATGGAGGATTTCATGTTAAGCATAGAAGTTTCCTGTATCTTAGAATGGAAAAAATAATATATAGCTTAAGTAGTTCTGTGCTTCCATCTCATTTGGAAGGAAGGTTATCTATGTTGAGTTTTTTGAATGGAGATTGTAGTATGGGGTTTTACCACATTTCATGGATTGCTTATCTTGTGGATGTACAACTTAAAAATTGATATTTTTCAGAAATTTTAACAGTGAAAAAACTTAAAACCTTTGAGATTGTGATTTGCAATTAGGATTCAATTACAACAATGAAAATTCCCAATTAGATAGACAAAAACCAAATTAGACAATAACCTAAATCATCAATCCAATACGAAAGTGATTTAGATTATCTCTAATCTAACAAACAAAAGCGACACAACGAGCACCTCCAATTGTGACATCATGGGCCGAAGCCACAAAACAATTCATTTAGAAGATGAAGGAATTACACAAGAGAACTCTCAATTACCTAGTGAATTCACACCCAAATTGAACCGAACTCACTATGCCTCTTCCAACACTATCTTCACCTCGGAATTGCTTTGTCTGGTGTTGAATCCACAATACCGATGTCGAATTCACGCCGATGAGCCACTCTGCAATCCACCAAAGCTCCAGGCTTGAGTGCCCCAGAATTCACCGATGTACAAAACTCTCTTTGAATTTGAATTAAACAAATGAAATCCCTTGATAATCTTTAATAACACAATTGTTGATCCAATGATCAATCTCAATCCATCAAGGTAAACATACTATGAAACACCCTCCAATATAGAACAATTAGGTTAATCTCCTCAGAGAGAATTCTAGTCTGGTTAGGCATTGTAAAACAAACGGAGATGCAAAGACCGCTTGAGTGCAAGAATGGCCGCTCGAGCGGTGTGTTTAAAGGTGGTTCTAACAAACTTGAGCGCAAGAGTGTACTGTTACGTACCGACTCATTAGAGATACAAGTTCTATACCAGGCACGTTGCAAGAGTATTAATTTGTGAGCGACAAGGCAGGCATGATATATCCCTATCGCATCACATGGTTGGATCCTTAGGCATAAATGCACGGGAGTACGTAGTACTACTTGTGGAGCTGGCTTCTCGAGAGGATGACAAGCGCGTAGTTCGTGACAAATAGTATCAGAGCCAGGTTAAGGGTACTGTGATGGAGACGGTACATGGGACCTACACCAAGCACCTTCGTTGTGGGGTCCATACCAATGGTGGTGTTCGCGCGGAGCAGGTTTCCCATGGGTAGGGGAACGGACAAGTATGGAGGCAGGTAGGGTAATGTTCTCCTGATGAGGGCTTTAGGGATTGGCGATGGTAGCATGTCACGTACCGGCTCATTGGAGATGCGAGTTCTACACGAAGCATCTTGCAAACGCATTAGTTTGTGAGCGGCAAGGAAGATAGGGTAAATCTCTATCGCATCACTAGGGTTGGATCCTTAGACTTAGGCCAAGTTTGGGAAGATCCAAAAAAACCAAAAAGCCAAAAAGTTACTCAAAAAGCTAAAAAGTTAACACTATTCACCAAAAGTCAACAATTACGGCTGCACAACTCCCAATTCAAATTTTTCCCTACAAATCAATTTTTACAATTTTTTATTACACATTTTTCAATAAAAAGTCAAAAAGTTAACCCAAACATCCATATTTTCAACCTCAATTTTTTAATCCAAAAAGACAAAAAGTGCACTTTTTTAGTCTTTCCAAACTTGGCCTTAATGCATGGGAGTACGCAGTACCACTCGTGGAGCCGGCTTCTTGGGAGGATGACAAGCGCCCAGTCCATGACAGTACACTCGAGCGGTAAAAGATACCTCCCAGTATCTCAAACCAAGGCTTGAACTACTGGATGATCCAACTCTATGCCCGAGATTTCTGTTCTTGAGCGGTCCATCAAGCTTGATAGTGTAAAAGGAGATTTCTGAATCTGAAAACAAACCATCGAAAAACAGTGCAACACTTAGAAACTCACAACATTACAGCTCAAATGTGTTTGTTCGGGTAATTGACAAAATAAGGGACCTAAAAATCTACCCCTTTGGCAATTTCTAGACAAAACAGTTCTAACAATGAAACCTAACGACACACTCTAGACACAAACCAACCTAACCATTCTAAACAATTTGTGAAGTGTACCACTTGCAATGAACACCATAAGAACAACACAAACACAAGAGATAGATGGATAGCAATAGATATGCATGGTTAGATGATAAGCAATGGAGCAATATGGATATCCAGGCAATAACAACAAAGGTAACACTAACCGCTCCCCCTTTTTGATTGGGAGAGACTAAGGAATAATGACAACCAACAAGATATAGATTGTGCCAAAATAAACAATAGAACAATTATCCACAACACAGGGCAACAATAGTCCAAAAACATTCAAATACAATTCCCAAAATAACCAAAATATACCAAATATCCACAAAATATGAACAAATATACCAAAAATAACCAAGAATATCAACTACGCCATAAGCCAAACACATCCAACATGCTACCAAAAGATGAGACATGTCCAAAAATGAATATCAGAAGACTAATAACCAATGCCCAACTAAGGCCAACCAAAACCAAGAGCCTAGCATGAGATGAGACAAGTCCAAAAGAGCAAATATCCACAAGACCAACAAGTATTAAACAAGTCCAAAAGTAGCGTAACCCAAGAGACAGAGAAATATCACTGATAAGGTGGAGGATGCAGTGGTTGCATCTGATAATATGAAAGAAGTTGGGTAAGCTGGAAGGTCGCCTAATCCACAGATGTAGCAATGTGGCTAGTGGTAGTCTCCAAGGCAGTGAGGCGCCCATCAAACTGATCCACGCTAGCATCTAGCTAGTCGAAACTCTGTGTCATGGCATGCTTGAACTGAAGAAGTTGACCTCGAATGGTACGAGCACAGGCTGGTTGCCCCCCCTCATTGGCAGCCATAACATCTAACTTAGCTTCCTTGGCCATCTGCTCCTCACCTGCATTAGATGGACCCACCCCGGATGGCTCCCCCTTAACATGTGCCTGACTCTGGGAGACAATCTTTTCGGTAAAAGGTTTGATGGGGCAAGCATGCTCATCATTGTCAGAAGAGGCAACCTCAAGAGAAGAGAGAATCCTATTGATGAGGCAACCATAAGGAAGACCTAAATTTTTCTTCTCCTCGAAGACAGCTATCATTTTGTCAACAATCATGTCTGGAAGATCAATGGGAAAACGATGATCAATACAATAAAGAATAAACCCCTAATCTTGGTTGATGTATGAGCTGTGAGTGGTGACATGAATTTAGCACAAACACTGAGATTTGGAAGGCGAAACTTGGGGAGAGACTCATTTTGTTTAAGTAGAACTTCGGACACCCAAGCTCTAGGGGTGCCATAGAGGTAGGACGCGACCATGTTGAAGTCAATGGTAGGAGAACCAAGAAAGGGATACTGACACCCAACAACGGGGGAAATACTGAGAATGAAACCAATAGACTCAGTGGTGACAAGAAATTCCTTAGACCGAACCCAAGTTTTGAAGCAAGGATCAATGGGGTCAATGGAATGCATATTACAATAAAATTCACGGACCTAATCTATGTTTTGTGCGCCAGAAAAGGCGAGAACCTTGTCACCACCCAAGGGGTCAAAGAGATGGTGGGTACGGATAGACTCAAAAGTAAAGGGTTGAACATTGCATTCAAGATGGACAGGCCGTGAGCTAAAGAAACCTCTTAACAACTTGGCTTTCTCCTTAGATTGGAACATCTCAAGGTTAAAAGATGGACGATTATCGGTGGATTTGGTGTGCTTTTTAGATTGAGACATGATGAATACTAGAGACAAGAAAGACCAACAACCGAAGAACGGAAAAAGTAGACACAAATCATCACCAGACAAATAGAGAAACACCCAGTAATCGACAAAAGACCGACAGAAAACCCTCCCAAAACAGTCAACCAACAACAAACCATCAATAACAACAAACCGACACACATACCCCACTAGAGAAACACAAAAAGACAACCCTCAAACCTAACCAGCAAAAGATCAATAGAGAAACCCCACACAATGACCCACCAATCAACAATTAACCAACAAAAAACATTAGCAACAAAACAACATATACAATGAGCAAGAATTAAGTAATAACAAGCATAATAAAGCCCTAGAGTTAGAACCAAACTAAAACAATACTATAAGCAGTTCTAAGTACGAGATAGAAAAGAAGAAAATAAATACACAGAAATAGAAGCATAAACAAAAAGAAAAAACAGAGAAACCCTATAATAAAACCCTAAAATTGAAACAAAAAAACAAAAGAAATAAACAATAAAGAAAAGAGGGAAATGAAGAAAACTTACCAAAATGTGATGAAAATCACTAGAGGCGGCACAAACCGAAGAGGATTGG